CAGAGACCCTTGTTCTTTAAAAGCCCACAATGTTTCTTTCAGTAACCTCTACTCCACAGCTCTCCACACCCCTGCACCTCTGTCCTGTACTCGTTTTTGTATGCTACATAAATAAATCTTAAGGGCCCTCCCTGGTGGAGCAACAGGTTAAAGCACAGCACTGTGAAACTATATGCAGCTACTGCAGCAGGGTTTGACCCCCGCCCCGGAGCTGACCCACAGGGCGCGGCAGACCTCTCCCGTCTCCCCGCTGCTCCCCTCAGCAGTGGACTTTGTCAATCTGCCTGTCCTGCTCCCCACTCTGTCTCTGGTGAATCCTGTCACCCCTATGCAACTCTGGCCTGTACCCCAGCTCTATATCCATAAATTAAATCTTAAAAAAAAAAGTCTTGGATGAGAGTATCAGAATTGGAGTGGTTGTGTTAGAATGCATGACGACATAGGTGGTCCTCTCTACTTGCACCCAGACTGCTCGCCGGGAGGGTGGTTTACAAGAGAAACTGGCTTTTGCTTCCGGGACAGCCTGCCTGTCCCGGACAGGCAGCTCCGTTCGTTTTGCTGATGCTGGCACGGAAGGGTGCTGGGGGGTGTTGGCGAGTGCCTGGCACGCTCGCCACTGGAGCCCACAGTTGCTCTCTGAGCCTCTTCAGCAGCCCACTTTGCCTTCCACACCTGTCTGCTTTCCCATCAGAAGGAGCAAAGGCCCGTGCAGATGATGTTTCAGGAATCCAGATTTCACCTCACCTACGTAGAGGAGGTGCGCGCCCAGGTGCTGGAGATGCCCTACGCTGACCTGGAGCTGAGCTTGGTCATTCTGCTGCCCGACGATGGTGTGGACCTGGACTCGGTGAGGGGGCCCAGAGGGGCGCTGGTGGCCTCCCTTGGAGGACAGAGCACCCCTTTTCCTGTGCGTATCTGTGCATGCGTGATCGGGCAATCGCACAGTGAGTGGAGAGTCCGGTGACCCCTCCTGAGCTTACCCCGCAGCCTCTTGGCATTTCTCATCCTACCAGTTGGCAGCGTCCTAGGCTGGATTCTTTCTCTTTACAATGCTTATTCTGAAGACCTTGGTCCTGGGATCCAGCTGTCATTCAGACCAACATCTCCCGTTCTTAGCCCCCGTCCATGACTCCCTCAATGCAGCCTCTGTTTTCTCATCTCTTGTTAGAGAGACAGTGATGATTATCTGCCAAGTTGCTGAGTGGAGGAAGCCCTGTTTGGGCCCTCCCTATACAGCAGGGGGGTTAAAGCACAGTGAGACGATCAGCACAAGTTCAGTTCCCCGCCAGGGAGTTGACCCACAGGGCGCGGCAGACCTCTCCTGACCCGCCCTCCACTCCCCTCAGCAGTGTACTTTGGTCTATCTGTTCTGCTCCCCACTCTGTCTATGGTGAATCCTCTCACCCCCTATATCTATGGCCTGTACCCCAGTTCTTATGTGCAGAAATAAGTACATCTTTAAAAAAAAAGAAGCCCTATATAAAGGTGATTAGTATCTTACATACTAATGTGATAGCATTATACTGCTATATAATGTTGTTAGCATTCTACTTATGTATTTCCAGAATAGATAAAATATTTAATTCTGCTCCTCTGACTGTGCACGTTCCACTCACCCTCCTCCAAATCCACTGATGCCAGTACCCAGCCTCCCTCCCTACCTACTTGGCTGCCTGAGCTCATGGACCTGTCCCCTCATGGGCAGGTACACACAGGGGAAGGTGTGCTCTGTCAATCCTCTGTCCCCTCTGTACAATTGTGTCCCTTCACTGAGTTCAGGAATTTTCCTGCTATAGCTTGCCTGGGTATATTTTTTTATTACTTATATATTCCACTGATGAGTGAAATCAACCCATATCTGTCTTTTACTTTTTTACTTTTTTCACTTAACATAGTCACTTGAGGTCTGTTCATTTTGCTCCAAACACTACTAGTTCCTCCTTTATCACAGCTGTATAATATTCCACAGAGTACATATGCCACAATTTCTTTAAAAGTATATATTCGGGCCTTCCTTGGTGGCTTAGGCGTTAACCCATATATGGTGCAGCAGACCTCTCCTGTCCCACCTGCCACTCCCTTAACAGTGGATTGAAGTCAATCCACCTGCTCTGCCCCCCCACACTCTGTTGCTGGTGTATCTCACACCCCTGCAACTGTGGCCAACACCCCTGTTCATCTATGCAAAGTAAATAAAACTAAAACATTTTAAAAAGTTTAAAGGATATATACAATAATTGTAAATATATATTATTTTATATCTAAGAACCATTGTTTCTGTTAGAACCTGATATGACACAGGACAGGGGAGGAGCCAGCATTAGGAGGCGGAGCCAGCAGTCAACCATCAACCAATAGATTCTAGGTTGGTCACTGAGTGACAAGAACAGGCCCCACTCCCGTGGAGCTGAGGCTGCCTCCGGGAAACACCCGGAGCCCACCTGGGGAAGCACACAGGTATCACACAGGTATAGCCGTCATGGCTGGGCTATGCCGAGAGCCCTCCTGCAGCCATTTTTCTTACTGGCAGTGTCCCATCTTCAAAATACCGTAGTCAAGAGAACATCCAGTCCAGTGGGCGCCGATGAGGGTTACGATGAGAAATGGCGTAGAAGCGCTTGGATGGGGGGAGAAGGGACGCCGGACCATCGCTGTGTGTCATTGTGCTGGACGTCTCCCCAGCTGGGCACAAAGCCATGTAGGGGACGGCAAAATGGGAGGGAGGGAAGAGGGGCGCAGAGATTTCCTGGCGTGTTAGGTGCCAGCCCTGCGTGACCCTCACCGTCTGACGCCGATCTCAACAGGTGGAAAAAACTCTCACTTTCGAGAAGTTCCTCACCTGGACCCAGCCACGCCGTATGACCAAAACCAATGTTGAAGTTTTCCTTCCAAAATTTAAACTGGAAGAGGATTACGACATGGGCCCCGTGCTGCAATACCTGGGAATGGCGGACGCCTTTCAGGCCGGCCGGGCTGACTTCTCGGCCCTCTCACCCGAGCCGGAGCTGTGTCTGTCCAAGTTCGTGCACAAGAGTTTCGTGGAGGTGAACGAGGAGGGCACCGAGGCGGCGGCTGCCTCCGCCGCGGTGATAGCGGAATGCTGCCTGGTGGATGAGCCGCGCTTCTGCGCCGACCACCCGTTCCTTTTCTTCATCAGGCACAACAAGGCCAGCAGCCTTCTCTTCTGCGGCCGGTTCTGCCGTCCCTAGTGCCGCGCCCACACGGAGGGGATACGAGTCTGCGCGGGGGACATGGAGGTTGAAGAGTCAGCACACGTAGATGGTTGCAGCAAAACGTTCTCTGTCCCTCTTATCCTTTCCAGCCTCCCTTTTATACCCTTAATCCCAGGATGTTGGCCTGGGGGCAGGAGGAAATCTCCCTCACATGGGCTACTGCCATCAGGATCAGGGTGGATATTAATCAGCTGCCCAAAGGTTAAGCCACTCTCACAGGTGGCAAGATGTCTTCTTGCTATTATGCTCTGTGCTTAAGCTCCGGGGGTGCTGGGGGAGGCTCATCCCGGCTGGGACCCAGCACGAAGGGTGGCGCTTCTCTGCCCCGTGTGCTCAGTCAACAGCGGCATGACGGCCTCCAAAGCTCGCAGGCACCTTGTGTTCTCCCTCCTGCCTCCAAGCCACAAGCTCCCAAGACCATTCAAGTACCAAACGCTGCTGTTTTCTACTATTTAAACTTCCCAGGGCCTAGGTTTAACAGAGTTTTTATTTTTTTCTGATGCACTTTATTTTCTCTTTTTTGAGACTGACCGGCAATGCATGCCAAACCCAGGGTAACGCACCCACTGGTGCATTACCTGCTTTCAACCTGTTATGTTTCTGTACATAACGGTAAGCTTACCACTGCCAGTAATGAAGTTAGTGAGAAAGAATAGTTAATGTGAAAGGAAAAAGAGTCAGGGGGTTGAGTCTTAGCTTTTGGGAAAGATTAAAAAGTTCACCTCCGGGCCCTCCCTGGTGGCGCAGCGGGTTAAAGCACTGCACTGAGAAGCTAAAGCCGCTTCCGCATGAGTTCGATTCCCGCCTGCCCCGGAGGCGACCACATGGCGCGGCAGACCTCTCCTGACCCGCCCGCTGCTCCCCTCAGCAGTGAACTTCGTCGATCTGCCTGTTCTGCTCCCCACTCTGTCTCTGGTGAATCCTCCCACCGCCCCTGAGTCTCTGGCCTGTACCCCAGTTCTGTATGCACAAATAAATAAATCTTTAAAAAAAAAAAAAAAGGCTCTTTGAGCAAGGCAACAATAGGGGATGGAATTAAAAGATTAATTAGACAGAATGTACCAAACGGATAAATGGCCACATTCACCCAGTATCCACTACTGGATGTTCCCAGCACATGGTCACCCCCTTTTCCCATCCGCTTCTAAGAAAATGTAACGCATCACCTTGTACTGTTCCGCTAAATACGTAACTATGTAACTATGTAATGCTGATGTAATCATTATTCTTGCCCAAAAAATACTGTATAAATGTGACAGCTTACTTCTCCACATTACATCCAGATACGCACTCTTAAAGTCGTGTCTGTCTGTCATTCATTCAGCCGAATCCTTATCCACCTCCCTTCGAGACACTCATCACCCTGAGGTCCAGAGCTCCCCACTGTGCTGGTCTGTGGCAATGACCTCCCTTTTTTGTAATATCAAAATATTCTAAGCAACCATCAGCTTACAGCCAGATTGCCTCAGCCTCACAAGGCGCTGCCTGGCTCAGGCGAGCGAGCGCTGCCCACGACAGGAAATTCCTCTGGAAAGCAAGAGATAATATTACAACTGGCTGATTAATAAAAACATTTATAACACAATCAATATTGTAAGACAAGGCAGTACTAGAACATGCTAAAAAATAATTGAAGTTCTTTTACTGCCCGGACCAGAACCCAAATCTTGTCACTCTACTCTCTTACTTAAGCTTTTATTGTTCAGTCTCTAAATGAGGAATCTTAACTATCTCCCTTAGTGACTTAGCTACCAGGAAACTCCTCCAGCCTGGTCTTCGACCTCACTTTACCCTCTTTCACAACTTCTTGGCCCGCGACCTCACCCCCTTCACATCCCCAGCCAGCCTCCACCCTCGTCCTCCACTTCACCCTCTAAGATGTCTCAATGAGAATGAAGATCATTAAATAGCATTTAAGGCTTAAAAGGGGCTTGATTTTAGCTGATCAAGACTGTAGTAAATATAACAATGTTAGCCTTAAACTTTATGAATTTATGTACCTATCTTAACTTAGATTGATTTTAAGAATAATGAATGTTATATCTCAGCTAACAGACTAAACTGTTCTTAGAAAAAAAAAGATGATTGCAATCTCTCAGCCCAGTTCGTGTGCTGATGTCATCCCACTGCCTGCTCCTAATGTATAAAATAAACCTCTGCTGAAGGCAGAGCAGGAAGACTTGCACCCAACTCCGATTCCTGTGTCTTCCTCGCTCCCCTTTCCCCTTTTCTTCCTTTTCTCCCTTTTTTAAGGGATCTCCAATCGCTGATGCCGCTCCCACCTTGAGACCCTGCCTGTTCTGCCCCCCAATAATCCGTGATCAGGGAACAAAGGGTCTCCGACAAGAAACACATCTGAATTTAGATTCAGCCAGCCTGTGGTTGCAACTACCCGCCTGTCCGTCTTGCACCATTTCTCCAGAACTGTCTTCACCCATGCTTGACCTAGCTGGAGTTTTCAGAGTATCACAGGCCCTGCCTCACCTCTGTGTCTTTGCACTTTCTATCCAGAGGCCCCTTATTCTCACTCCTTCCCAGGCCCCACTCCACACTGCAGGCTGGCTCACCCCACTTAAGTCTCAGTGAAGCCTAATGCTTAATCATGTAGGAATTCAAATGAGCCATCCACGCCTCTGCTCTGCCTAACTCTGAAATCTCCCTGAAGGCCCTGGCCTAGCTAGCCCCTGGGCCCAGACACCAGGTAGGGGTCTGCTGACCTTAAGGGTCCCAGCAGCCAACAGACTGTTGGGGGCTGTATCTGAAGCTCAGACCCAAAGGATGAAAGATAAGGACAGTCAAGAAATCTCCGGTCCTCTCAGGTTCTACCCAGGCTCACAGGAAGAGAGCCCTCCCAAGAGGAAACTGCCTCTATCAGGGCATCGCTCTCCCAGCACGGGGCATCTGTGTCCGTGCAGGTGCTCCTTCCCACCCACCCTCTCCCTCTGCAGGGCAGCGGCCTCCTGCCTGCCCCCGACCTGCCCCTGCTGGGCCTTCTCTGCACTGACCTCCCTCAGCAGAGGCTGCTCTGTCCTTAGTTTGTCTACCTGCGATCACGCAGGTTTCTCTCCCTGCAGACCTGTTCCTGCCTGCTTGTGCCTATGCAACTGTCTTTCCCTCTCCTGTCTCTTTCTAATAAACTTCCTCTTTAAGTATGACAGAGTCTGTCTCGTGGAGAATCTCACCATGTGCCACTGAAAGGGCAGCTCTGGGGAAACCTTTCCCAGGGTGAACCCGAGGACCCTGAACTCAAAAAACGACATCACCGTTTATCAATGAAAAGGCCAGGAACTTGCTTTTCGGTGGCATCCTGCATGATGTAGCCTGCTCCAAGACTCCCGATCTGGTCTCTATCAGCTGGGGGTTGCTCCATGCAACAACCTGGGCCCCTGCACCAGACAGGAGCCTGGCATTCTTTCTGGAGCACCGTGAAATGCCAAGTGGGCTCCCTGCTGGCATTTGCAGGGGGCCACCGGCTGTGGGCTGTGGGGTCTCAGGCTGGTGGGGCTGACCCAAAGAGAAAGCAATGATGTCTGCATGAGTCTGAGGCAGCATCCCAACTTTCTAAGCCATGGCCAAAAAAGGGAAAGAAAGCCTCTTTGTCTCTCCTGCAGAATGTCAACAGATGAGTGAATATTTTGGTTTCGGTTTCACTTGAAACACCCACATGCAATTGGTAAACATCAGACAGGGCCTGTTACAGGGCACCCCAATATGAATTGGGTTGCCTGTCTGTGGGTCTTCACCCGCACGCTTACGATTCGATCGTATTATGGACATACTCAAAAAGATTAAATAATGGATTTATTTATAAGGAGAAACGTAAGGGAATAACCCAGAGAAAGAGGGAGAGAAATACAAGTTAACTAGAATGTCCTTCTACCAGTTCTGCTGACGTGGACTCCACCAGCACGCTGAAAACCAATCGAGAGTCAAAACGACCAGCTGCGAACCACCAGGCCAAGAGCCCCCCAGAGCCCACATGTCCGGTTTTATCCCGACCTGGCTGCTCAGCTCCGCCCTCAGTCCCAGCCTGCTTCTTCTCCTTGGTACTGATGGGATTTGGAGTTCCAGCATCTGGAGTGGGGCGGAGTCCATGAGACCTGTACCTGTTACAGGCCCTCCCTGATGGTGCAGGTGTTAAAGTGCAGCACTCTGAAGCCAGCTGCATCCCTGGCCAGGGAGTGACCCCCAGGGCACAGCAGCCCTCTCCTATCTCCCCGCTGCTCCCTTCAGCAGTGTACTTCAGTGCATCTGCCTGTTCTGCTCCCCACTGCCTCTGGTGAACCCTCTCACCCCTTGTACTTCGGGCCTGTCCCCCAGTTCTGTATGCATAAATAAATAACAATCTTAAAAATCAGACAAACCAACTGAGCTGAAAAAGAAAGGGCAAAGTTGAGGCTATTAACTAGCCAGGCCGGGGGAGGATCGAAAGTTCAGAGTGGTCACTGTGGGAGAGTCAGAGGGACGCTAACAGCTGGAAGGAGGCCTGGAAACCCTGGCCTCTGGGCAGGGTGAGGCCAGGTCAGTGCTTCCCTGGCCAGCAGGTCGTAAACAGATCTAGGGTGGCCTCCAGTCATCTTTCAGGGTCTCAGTCCCTTATTAGCCCTGGCTGGCCAGGCAAGATGACTTCACACTCAGAATGGGGAACTGACTAATCTCTACTCCACTCTGTAGATTTGAAAGAAAATTCGCCAGCCCTTGGGGCCTCTCCCAGAGAACTGGAATGACACAAGCAACCTCTATTATCAGACATATTCCAGATGGAGGGGAAATGCCCTGAAAAACCAGAATTTCCACGCTAGCTCATGTTATGACACCCCCCCCCTTTTTCTGTATAATCAAAATATTCCAAGCAATGATCCGTTTTCTTCTGGACCTCCTCAGCCTCATAAGGTGCTGCCTGGCTCGGGTGAGCGAGCGCTGCCTCAGGATGGGACAGTCCTCTTGGAATCAAAAATATTACAACTGGCTGATTCATAAAAACAATTATATCAAAATTAATATCGTAAGACAAGGCAGTACTAGAATAGTGAGAATTCCTTTACTGCCCAGACGAGAACCCAAACCCCATCT